GTTCTCTTTTGGGAATTCGAGATTGTTTCTTGTATATTTTTTGCAAATCTCGGGCTGTAAATTTGTAGAGAGCTTGTGCTGTGGTTCATCAGTATGAATTTCAGTGGGATTATTCATGATCGCTTGCATTTTATTTTCGAAAATTCTTTCAATCGATTTGGAAATCATTTCCTCTATTTCATTCATTGAAGAAAATTTCAGATCAAAAACTGCATTTTCCGCATTTGTTTCTTTTTTGGCTTCACCAGACGCGACAAAATGTTTTCTCATTTTGAATTCAAGTCAACAAAAAAAATTCTTACAACAGAAAATGAATAGTAGAAAGAATATGAATATGATATGTGAATAACCCAGATTCAGTACTCTCGGTCTCGATGATATGTGTAATTCAATTCCCCGTTAATTCGTCCGTTGTTGCCTATTTCAACTGTTTGTTGCTCGTTCGTTCACACGATTAGCAAAGAAGATACGTTCGCCCAGCAGCTTCTCTCGTTCAATGTTGTTGTTTCTTCGCTTCTTAGAATTTCTTTAGCTATTTTTTTTCTTCTTATTTGTTCCAATATTTGTTGGTTTTCAATTCAATTGTTTGTTGGATTAATAACTTTTGTTACATTTATTGGTTATTAAAAGTTCAATTGTCAATTGCATTCAGCATTTGGATCATTGTGTTATTTGCTTAACTTTAAAAACTTGTTTAAAGTATTGTATTGTAATTAATTAATTTTATCGTGCTCAAAATTTATTCGAAACACTTTTTTTTCTCACTTTTCGTGTTTTTTTTTTCTTCTGGATATCACTACTTTTGTGTGTATATCACTCTTGTGTATTCACTGTTTGGAATCACACTTTTATTTTTTAATAATTGAAAATAATTATGATCATTTTTGATCAAAATAAATTTCCTTGTTCAAAACCTGAGCAGTGCCAGTGTAGTGGGTTGGTTATATTGAGAATGAGTATAACCATGTTTTGTGATTGACATCAAACTTTATTCTAATTCTTCTTCACATTTTATAATTGTCATTAGCGGGTGTCGCATGCGCATCGCGAGATGCGGTGAGCATGCGACACCGTTGGAGAAATAATGAGTAGACACACAATTATAATAATAATGACGATCCGTCTACAATGTATTACTTTTGAGTGGATTGCCCCTTGGGACAAATGCTGTCCGTTTTATCTAAATGTGTGAATAGGACTTGAAGATAGATATCAAATTGTGAGTCATAAAGCCCTCTTTCAAGTGAGATATATATTTTTTAGTTATTTTGAAATTTTTCTAACAAAATAACTAAAAAATTCTTTTCACACATTTAGATAAAACGGACAGCATTTGTCCGTTTGGTGTCGATTTTTGTCGATTGTCCGTTTCGGACCACAAAGTCGCGCGTATCGGACCACAAAGATCTTGAACATAACATCGTTAGAACGTAGGAGAGTGAATGCTCCAATTGTATTCATGCGTGACATCGTTAAGGGGAACGCAAATTGTCCCAATGAACGCAACGACATAGCAATTGGAGAGAGCGTACGCACGTTACAGCACAGCGACTACCTGAAAATAAAGGACAAGCTCGTGGACAAGCAAATCAGAGCTCAAGTGCCACAAATTTTAATTTTGCATTTATGTCATATCTGATGAAAATAGAACAATATACAGGTATATATACCTTGTTTGATTTTTTGTCTTGAACAGAAAATTTGCCTGAATTGAACTATGTGCCAGGATCATTCGCAGCTAAAGGACGTTCAATAATCCACCCGCCAAATATTTCTAAGCCTCTAGTACCAGAAAACTTGGACAGATTATTTAATCAAGTATGTCTTAAATAAACAAATTTTGGGAAAATCGGAATGTCTAAATTATGTATTATTTTCGTATTGTTATAGATTTTCGATTGGTTAAACTTGGATCAAAACATGGCCAAGAAGTATCACGTAGATGTTGGAGATATAGAAGCGATTCAAGAAGCAATAAACAAACAAAAGGTAAGAATAGAGAATGGAGATACTAGATAGAATCGGTTTTCGAATGTGAATACCTTTTTTATGTCTTCAGAGTTTTTTCCGCGGAGTGTCGTTTCTTTTTTCCGCATTCTATAAAGAAGCCAGATTACTAAACTCATTTTCGATATTCTAAATTTTTACAGGGCGTTGTTCGAGAATTAGAATTTAAGAAACCTCAGCTAGACGAATTGATAATTCTGTCCGAAGTATTACAAATCGACGGAAATCATACGAAATTTCACAGTAAAAGTGAGTTGTATATAGAAATTTCATTTTTTTGTTTGAAAAAATCATTTGGGAAATTTTACAATAATTAAAGAAGCCTAGTTATTAATAAAATGGTTATAACTATATAATATATATAATACTTATTAGCTATAGTTAATTTTACAATATTATAAGAAAATTAATTATCATTTTTATATTCATTTTTTCTGACCACTATCTTTGACAATTTTGTAGCCAACGTATAATTGAACAACATTTCTGAACATATCAACCAAGAAAAAATATGTTTTATCTACCTCTTTGGCTAAAAATCACTTTTTGGTACCAAAAATGGTCATTCTGTTGACTAGTAAAGGCTTCAAAGTGAAACGCGTCGATTTCAAATTTGAATATACAGATCGATAGGATATGAAAAAAAAATAATTTTGACAAAGGGGCAGCGGCCCGTTTTGGGGCATAGTGGGGATAGACCCACCTCATT